GGATACTCTATGGTTAATGCTAAAGAAAATGTTCATTTTATCTCAATGCACCATCTTTCATAATCTGGAAGCGGTATGGTATGTTAGAAAATATCTTGGCTTGGAAAATCAACCTGATTTTAAGTCCTGGTTTCACTAGGACCTTGTACAAATTACCTGATTTCTTGGATGTACCCTAACTTTAGGATAGTATCCATTTATTCATCTGTTTCATAAATATTTAGTGTGCACCAAATATGTGTCAGGCACTGCATTAGGCTCCGGAGACACAAAGATGAATAAAAGAGATGATGTTCTGCCATTATGTGGCTTACATTTATTCCTCTGGAGGATTCAAACAATAACCAACAAAAACAATAACACATTCAAAGATGGCAACAGATCTGACTGGAATTTAAAGGTGTCCTTTCTTGACCTCAGTGTTCCAGTATGGAAGGCATCAAAAGTTCAAGTTGCCCCGCTCAATTTCCTTTATTCATTCCAATTTTTTTTGGTGGGGGAGGGGAGATTATGTATGTCTGAGTTCCTTCAGAGGAAGGGGGACATCCGATTTGTTTCTTAATACCCACTCCTAGCACTGATATTGCTCTTCTAAAGGAAGAACAAGAGGACCTTCCTGGGTCAACTCAGCAGATATTTACTGTACCTTTATTGTCTGTGGTATGCGTGTTATGGTGGAAGATGCAATGAAATGTTTCCACAGCCCATCCTTCCCAGAGCAGTTTGTGGTTTANCCCACTCCTAGCACTGATATTGCTCTTCTAAAGGAAGAACAAGAGGACCTTCCTGGGTCAATTCAGCAGATATTTACTGTACCTTTATTGTCTGTGGTATGCGTGTTGTGGTGGAAGATGCAATGAAATGTTTCCACAGCCCATCCTTCCCAGAGCAGTTTGTGGTTTAGCATGGCAGGACTTGGAAGTATGCTTGTAACTTAAGGTTTACCCTAAACCCAGGCCTTTATTACAAACAGGCATTTTGGCAGGAGATGTTCAGAGGCATACAGATAAGCCAAGGCTCTGTTTTTGGCTCCAGGGGACATTTAATAGACTAAGTCTCTAGATAAGCAATCCCTCATGTATATCGTTCTTTGTAGAACATGCCCAGCCTTAGTCTCATCTGGTTCTCATTGCAGTTTTGTGATGTAGGCAGGACACTTGTTGTTATCCCTAATTTAGACATGAATGGCGTTCAGGAATTAAGTGATGGTGAGCAACCTCTCAGCTGGGGGAAGAGCTGTGGTGGAAAGCCAGGTCTTCTGATGCCCGGTTCAGTGCTCCTGCCCTTGTACCATGCTGTCTGCCTCCATCTGCATAGATCTCAGTGAGTCAGGGGTCCACCTCAACCTTAGTATATTTCTCAGCTCTGGAAAGAAGTCAATTCAGGGAGAATGGCATTTGGGGCTTCAGCTGCATTGTTTGAATTTATTTCCACAGGTAGAAATGAGGCCATTTATTCCTCCAGAACTTCTCTATTGCGTGTGACTATTCCTACAGGAAACAGGCAAAGGACCATAAGAACGTAAGAACCATAAGAACAGAGTTAAAATGACTCTGAGAGAAGGCCCACGTCTCCAGGACCTTGAATGAGATCAGAGTGGTTAGAAGGGAGCATGAACTTTTAAGTATCATCATGCCTTTTATAAGCAGTATCTTATTAAATTCTCAACCAGGGGACATTTAATAGACTAAGTCTCTAGATAAGCAATCCCTCATGTATATCGTTCTTTGTAGAACATGCCCAGCCTTAGTCTCATCTGGTTCTCATTGCAGTTTTGTGATGAAGGCAGGACACTTGCTGTTATCCCTAATTTAGACATGAATGGCGTTCAGGAATTAAGTGATGGTGAGCAACCTCTCAGCTGGGGGAAGAACTGTGGTGGAAAGCCAGGTCTTCTGATGCCCGGTTCAGTGCTCCTGCCCTTGTACCATGCTGTCTGCCTCCATCTGCATAGATCTCAGTGAGTCAGGGGTCCACCTCAACCTTAGTATATTTCTCAGCTCTGGAAAGAAGTCAATTCAGGGAGAATGGCATTTGGGGCTTCAGCTGCATTGTTTGAATTTATTTCCACAGGTAGAAATGAGGCCATTTATTCCTCCAGAACTTCTCTATTGCGTGTGACTATTCCTACAGGAAACAGGCAAAGGACCATAAGAACGTAAGAACCATAAGAACAGAGTTAAAATGACTCTGAGAGAAGGCCCACGTCTCCAGGACCTTGAATGAGATCAGAGTGGTTAGAAGGGAGCATGAACTTTTAAGTATCATCATGCCTTTTATAAGCAGTATCTTATTAAATTCTCAACACAACTTTCAGAAGTATGTACTTTTCCTTTGAAGTTGACATGCAATGCGTGTTATCCTTAATTCAATCCTAAAATCATCCAGAATCAATGCCTAGACTCTTTTTCTAGACCTTAGGCAGGCCCCAATGAAAAACTTTTGTTGGTAGTGGAGGTGGGATTGGGGTTGGGGAAAGAGAATTATTGGGATCCTGAGATTGGTTTTGGTTGGAACACGGTTTCTCTACTTTAGTACTATAGACATTTTTGGTCAGATAATTTTTTTGGTGTGGGAGGCTGCCCTGTGCATTTTAAGCTGCTTAGAAACATCCCTGATTTCTACCCACTAGATGCCAATAGCACTTTCCTCCCAGTGTGACAACCAAAAATGTCTTCAGACATTGTCAAATATTCCCTGAGGAGGGAGACATGAAATTAATCCCAATTAAGAACCATTAAATTAGTTGTATGTAGAATGGTTTCCAATTAGTACCTTCTTTTTACTGGGCCAGAGAAATAGGACCCAGTGTAAGGATGCAGGGTTAATGGTGACACTGTTCAATAGGAATAATCTGAACTGCAAATTTGATGTGTAAAGATTTTCCTGAGAGATACTTTATTACTAAAGGCTTTATACACAAAGATGCTATAAAGCAAATAGAAGATTTTAAATCACTTAAAAGTTACAAAAATGACTTACCACATTTTTTTTTGATTTCTCATCTATTCCTGTGAGGTATCCTGTGAGAATAAACTGTTAGGAAGACAAAAGTTAACAGGTGATATGTTTGAGTACCTTACAGTATAATCCCCTTTGGATCCACAAGCTTCATTGTTTGAATTTTCCAAGTCAGCTAGTCTTTCTGGCTGAGCATTAGGAACGAAGGAGTGTAGGTACTGATGCAAGAAGAAATACCATGTTGAACTTGCTCAGCACTGAACTAGAGCTCTTTGCCAGTGTCAGCTGGGAGAGGCAGACCCCTCTTTAAGGCCCGGAAAATAATACCCAGATGTTTGACTTATCTCGGTTTAAACAAAAAAGAGATTCCTGGGTAGGACCTGGAAGAGGGGAGGAGGAGCCTGCCAGTGTCAGCTGGGAGAGGCAGACCCCTCTTTAAGGCCCGGAAAATAATACCCAGATGTTTGGCTTATCTCGGTTTAAACAAAAAAGAGATTCCTGGGTAGGACCTGGAAGAGGGGAGGAGGAGCTTTGCCTGTTCTGAGCAAGTATAGGGAGACTTTCTCAGGGAAGACTCCTCTGAAGACTGATATGGGGACTGACATCTGGTGTAGTCATCTCAGCCACTCCTTTTTCAGGAACATAATGAGCCTACTACTACCCAGGGAACATGAGAACTCTGGCACCTATTGTGAAGCTCCTTACTTTTTAAAATATTCTGCGGATGGGAGCCTTGTCTGTGGGAATGGGCATTGGATCTTGGGGACATTTGGGTATAGGAGTTTGAGGACCTCAAGTTGATGTGCAGAGATCAGAAAGTTACCTTCGATACCCCTCTCTACTTTACTCCCCACATTGGATGGCCAGGTCTTATCAGTTCTACCTCCGCATCGTCTCAAAGCTGTCCATCTCTCTTTATCTCCACTGCTGTGCAGCTAGTTCAGAGAACCAGCATCTCTCCCCTGGATTACTGTAGCCTCCTCCCAATTGATTCTCCCAGGTTTGCTGTTATCATCCCTGAATTCATTTCCCACTCAAAAAACACAATGATATTTCAATATAACAAGTCTTCAAATGTCACTATCCTCTTTAAAAGTGTCAGTGGATTACCCTTGCTCTCCTATTGAAGTCCCATGTTCTTTAACATGACTGATGGAGCTTGCATGAACTGCTTTCAACCTGAATTTATGGCCCTCATTTTATGCCATGATCATTGACTCGTTGGTCTTCCTTTGGTTGCTCTTTCCCACATCAAGCCCTTTCTCATGCTTTGTCTTTGCTGGGGGATGCTTTCCTGCCACTTCACCCTGTGAGCACCTGTGTGTAAAGTGCTTCCCTGACCTTCCAGGTGAGTCCTCCGTTAAACCCTCACAGGTGACATGAACTCCCCTCTTAGTGCACTTAGAGAGAGTGTAATAACATATCTGTGGAGTCACATTTTAACTTTAAAAAAATTTCCAGCCACCCTATTAGATGACAAATTTCATCTAATTCTCAGAGAGAGCCTTGCTTACCTGTACTCTCAGCACCTATGACAGTGTCAAAGAAGACATGATATGTGCTGAATAATGATCTTTTCAATGAAGAGTGGAGTTAGAAACAGAAGCAGGCCAGAATCTCATTATGATTCACACATGCAGATTACGCAGAGTCACACTGGGAAAATTCTGTTGTGAAATGGGGAAGTGAGGAGTTGGGCTGTTTGATTTTCTACCATGTAGCATGTGTAGTTTGAAAATCATATTCGATATTATGTTATTTATATTGGGAAAGTGAAAACACTTATTAGTTGCTTTTGAAATGTAAATTATAGGAAAGGCATGGAATAAAAAGAGCATTGTGTTTTTAATAGTCAGAGACAATGGTCTCATTTATTCATTATTTCATGTATATGTTCATTGATTGATTGATTCAGTTATTCATTCATTCATGCATACTATGCCTCAAGCATGATTCTAGGTTCTGAGAATATAATAAAAACTTAAACAGACAATATTCTTGTCCTCTTTGGAGTGTATGTCCTAGTGGAGGAAGTACTAATGAGTCTACCCATAAATATGACCATATTTATGGAATTCATGATCATAGAACTTGAAACATTTTAAATCAGTCTTCATAGCAATTACTCAAAAGCTCCTAATAGACGGTACTTACAATAAATGCTCCCCAGAACGGATATCCTGAGAGGAAAACGAGGGGAAATTTGTGGGAGAAATTGATGTAATTAAAGGCAAATATGGCTCCGAGGCCCACAATGATTAGAGCAAGCAGGATCTGAACAGCCTGTGAGGAGAGAAATGGGTACATGAGATTATAAGTGCCCCAGCCCCTGGTCTCTGCCGTGACACATGTTTCCTGCCATCTGAATGCCTTCCTCTCGCATTGGCCAACCCCTCTCAGATTGTCAGGAGGCTCAATTCAAGTGTCTTTTCCCCCATTGTGCTTGCCTGCATCCTTTGGGTTTGAATCCTTCACTCTTGTCCTTCATTGCTTTCTATATTTCCTGGTGTTACCAATTTATCTTGCATCAGACAGCGTGGAGTACATATCTGACTAGCTCTAGATTGTAAGCTTCTTGAGGACAGGACTACAAACTATTCACTATTACATTTTTTCCCTTCTGTAGCACCAGCATCCTATTATCCTATTATTGTATTATCCTCAACCCCCACTCCCCCAACATGCACACACATTTTACACATTCAATATATGCTTTGGGGATGGGGGCAAATCCCAGTTCTCTGAAAGTTTATCAAGTTTGCAGACATAGAGTTGAGAAGCTGGGTGTGTGTGTGTGGGGGGTCTCAATTCCCTTCATCCAAGGGCCGGACTAGAGATGAGAGGAACCCAGTGGGCATATCAGCTTGTTAGGAGTCTGCAGAGAGATAAATACCACAGTGGTCTGCAAGACGGAGTTCTTAGGGCAAAACTTCTCTAGCATTCTAGGTTGTTCCAAAGCCACACCTCTGTCGCACCACACCACAAGCAGTCATTTTATTGTACTAAAAATGGAGGCTGTGTTTACAGCTCTCTCCTAGGTATGTTTACAATGGGAAATTTTTTTGTGTGTGTCTATCTTGTGGTTCACTAGGAAGCTTTGAATATGGTTTTCAAAGAACTCCTGATGTCTGTCATAGTACAAAGAGGATGTTTAACCTCTCCTCTGATGGCTTCTCAGTTTTGGTGAGGTGTCACCACACCTTGAGGTCATTTCCTCAATATTAGAAAAAGTTACACCAGTTTCCTGTTTCCCCTCTGCTAGGATTCAAAGACCAGTGTTAACTCCTCATGAGGTAGCCCTAGGATTTCCCCAGGGTTAGGGAAGTTATTAATTAGAATTAAATATTCTATTTCTCATAGTTAAATAAGCCCTTAGAAGCATTTTACCTCAGACATGAGGGAAACTCATGTTTCTAAACAGAACTTTCATTTCTCTTGCTTATCAAAATATAGAGAAGTGGTATTACTGACTGGCCCTTGTACTGATGACCCAATTCTTTGTATAAGCAAATGACTTAGTACTGTTTATGATTCATCAAGTACATTGCAGGTGAAAGGTAAGAGGGAAAAAGTGGGATCAACTCTCTGAAAATCATTGCACAGAGGTATCTCTGCAGACAAACACAGAGAAATAACTTCTTTTCTCTCCTCCAGGAAGACCCATTGATTGGAGGGGACTTACCCCCAAGAGTTTTGGCTCTCCCTTCAGGAAATCCAGCAGAGAACTATGAGGTTTGTAGGGAAATGCAGTCAATACGGTTTCCTTTGGTTGTATAGTGATGACGTGAGTTGCTCTTTGGTCCTGGGATGATGACTCCATGATTCAATGGCAGAATTTTATTAAGATAACGAGGGAGTAAACATTGTAGCCAAAATCATGGTCTACTTCTCCACCAGTGCCACATGGAGTCCTTGGCAGTGAGCCCCTGGCTACTCAACTCAGTACTAGAACCACAGAATCACAGTCATTGTGTCATAGAGTCTTAGAATTCTAGAGCACACCCAGCTCCCTCCCTCCTGGGGAAGGATACAGTTATTCAGAGGTCTTACTCTCTTATCAGTTTGTTTATAAACATATGGTAAACACAAGATAAATACATGGTATATACAAAAACAAGTCCCCATACCTATGTTCGTGATATATAAAGGAACTGAAATTTATGGAATATCCACTATGTCAGGCACTGTAGAAGGTATTCTGTTTGTTTTAACATGCATTGACATTTACTTTTTTAATAATTCTACAGCACTGAAACTAAGCAACAGAAAGATTAAGTTGCCCAGTGTTACAAACTAAGGGACAGAGGAAAGAGGCACACACCTCTTCTCAGTCTCCAATATCTGTGCTTTTTTTTCAGCATGCTTTCACCCTCTTTCAATAGGAGTTTCCTGCTTTTCATTGATGAGTTTTCTAACTTATTGTTTAACCATATTCCTTTGTAGTATAAAAATCAGTAGTTAACTGTGAATCTCTTAATTTTTCCATCTTTATAAACCAAAGCATCTATTTTGGTCATTGAAGTAAAACAGCTTTGATGATATTATATATATAATTATATATATATATATAATTTTATATATTTTTTTATAAATATATTTATATTTATTTATATGTCAGGTTAAAAAAATCAGTAGTAAAGAAAATTTTATATATTTTTTATAAATATATTTATATTTATTTATATGTCAGGTTAAAAAAATCAGTAGTAAAGAAAATATAGGATTAGATGTAGTTGCCACTTTAATAGAGGATAAATATAGGACTAGATGTAGTTGCCACTTTAATAGAGGATATTTTAGTTTTCAGGAAGACAAGTAAAACTAATTCTATTCAAGTCCTTCCTGGTTTAAACTATACAAGTACTAATTAAAATGACAAAATAATGCCTTTTGGAATTTGTTTCCACTTTAGTCCTTTATGTTCTTATATTTGTTATTTTAACTATTAAATTATAAAGGTAAATCATTTCACAAAATCAAAAACAATATACAAACACTATGTTGAGTATTTTCTAGTGTGTGGTGACCATGGATAGCAGAGTTTCTTAACCTTGGCACCGCTGACATTTGGGCCTAATAGTTCTTTTTTAGGAGGAGTTCTATGTATTCTAAGACATTTAGTAGCATCTCTAGCTCATTAGATACTAGTAGCACATCTCCAGTTGTCAAAACCAAAAATTGTCTCCAGACATTGTCAAAAGTTCCCCAGGGAAAAAATTACTTCAGGTTGAGAACCACTGATGTATAGAAATATAGACTGTCTACTCCATTAATTTTTTCCTGGTGGAATGCCTCTTTCTTTTTTCACACCCAAACTTCAGAGAAGGTAGGTATTTCTCAAGACAACAGTTCCTGCCAATGTTTATAAAGGTAAATTTTAATTTATGTCTCTAAGGTGCAATGCAACATTTTACACAAAATGAAGTGTGGGGCAAGTTTATATTTAAATTCTAAGCAGAATTGATAGACCATCAGAATTATGTAAAGTTTTATAAATTATGCTGTGACGATAAAAGGAAAGCATAACTATGATGGTGCTGCAGCCACATGCTGCAAACAAACCACCTGCTTGTTACCAACCATTGTGATTATTTAGTGATGAAGGAATTACAACATTTTAACCATTTTCCAACCTAACATATTAATTTATTACTCATATATAGATGCTTTATTGCCTTTTGTTTACATTTTAGGAAATTGGATGGGAGTTTAGGTTCACTAACAGCACATATATGTATTTTTTTTTTAAATGATGGAAAAGAGCTGTCTTCATGAAGAATACCTGATTTTTTAGGATTGAATTGCTGATATTAAGCAGAAGAAGCTCATAATTCTATCTATCTTGGATATTTCAAAATGCACCTCATTTTATCTTTTCAGCCAGGTTTTAGTTGTCAGCCATTGTCTTTTCTTTCTGCTTTTGACTTTTAAGCTCCTCAAAGATAGACCTCCTAATATTTTAATCTGTAGAATCAGACCAGAAGGCAAGAACTAGACTATTCCATAGATAGGTGAAATGGCAGAGTCTTCATGGGGCAGCTGTAAGTGACATTCTCTGAGTGGAAATGGTATTTTGTTTTGCTTTCAACCTTCAGCAGACCACTCTTCCTTAAGGTTGATAAGTAACATTCAGCACTTAGTTTGTGCCAACATGGTTCTAAATAAAATGAGAAATTTACTTCCTCATTAAATTTCTTCTTCGTGTGTTACTATGACACCTTCCCAATAGACTTGGGAAGTGGGTTCTATTATCATACACATTTTGAGGACAAAGAAACTGAGGACCACCATTAATGCTGGTAAGTGGTAGAGCTGAAATTTGACCTTGGTTAAAAGTTGAACTTCTCTTGTTTTAGATTTCATGCAATAATACAGTGTGTATTTGTTTTCTGCTGCTACATAACTAATTACCACAAATTCAGTGCCTGAAAACAATACATTTATTATCTTACAGTTTTTGTGGGTCAGGAATTGAGGCATGACATAGCTGGTACCTCTGCTCAGAGTCTTATATGGCTACAGTCAGGGTATCGGCCAGGCTGTATTTTCATCTGGAGGCTCGCTTGGGGCAAACCTAGTTCCAAGCACATTTAGGTTATTTGCAAAATCTATTTCCTTGTGGTTGTATGACTAAGGGCCCTGGGTTTTGCAGGCTGGAGATAAGAGGCTGTCATCAGATCCTAGAGGCTGCCCTCAGTTTCTTGCTTCCTCAACATGGCTTGCTTGTTTGATCAGGCCAGTAAGGAGAATCTCTTACTTGAGTTGGGAGAGAAGATTGGAGAGAAATTGTGATAATGATCTGAGCATGTGTGGCTCAGCCACTGCTATTGGGTTACCTTTTGGGTTACATTTTTTTTAAACCACAAGGTGGAACTTAAAGTTCTAGTATGTATGTTTAATATCTGCAATATCTTCTTGGACTTGGTTCAAACCATCAGTCCCTTTTCTTGCCATGAGTTTACTAGACCTTCCTTTTAATGATTCTTGCCTAATTGGTTGCCCAAGCTAAATGTGGTAGTGTGGCAAAGTAAGGAGTAAAGATGACTCCCAAATTTCAGACATTAAAAACTGAGTGAATAGTTATGCCATTTGTGAAACACAACCTGGCCTGGCTGGGGAGGATGGGGGAATGATGGCAAATGAAGGATGCAGTATCCTTTTTGCATCTTTCATCAGTTCGGTAGACCAGATATATGAAGAACCTTTCTATTAACAGCAGAAAACAAAAAATAAATAGATTCTGGAAAAATATAAATTTATTGAATTGCTTGGCTGATGGGAAGAAGGGAAATCTCCAAGGTCCTCCACCCCCATTTAAAATACACACACACTCTCACATATTTGCAAACAGACAAATAGGAACTGAAAACCTCATCAGGGAGTCATCAGTGCGTGCCCTAATGTAGCTTAAGGACTAGTGGAGGTAGACATACAATAGATAAGCAAAGAAAATATATGGTGTGTCAGATGGTGGTAAGAACTATGAAGAAAAATAAGCAAGCGATGGGAAGGAAGACTGTTATTTTGTGTAGGTTGGTGAGGGAAGAAAAACCTGAAAAAAGTAAGAGCAAGCAATGGAAATATTTGCAAGAAAAGCATTCCACATAGAGGAACCTGCAAGTGTAAAATTCCTGAAGAAAGAACATGTCAATTGGTAGCAAAAAGATGAGTGTGATTAGAGCAGAAGAAACAGAGAGTAGTCAGAAGGTCAGAGAGGAAATGAGGGATGAGATCCTATAGGGACATTTAAGGACATTGGCTTTTATTTGGAATGAAATGGAATGGGTTTGAGAGACATGATCTGATTTTAGATTAAAAAAGATTCTGCTGTCTGCCATACAGAGAATATACTGAGTGGTGTGGGTGCCCTGCTGGTTGATCAGTTCAATAACGCCAGTGTGGAAATGATGGACCAGAGTACTCGAGAAGTGGTGAGAAGCAATCAGCCTCTGGATCGATTTTGAAGTGAGACCTAGAAGGTTTGCATGAGAGGTTAGATAGGGTGTGTAAAAGAAACAGAGGAGTCAGAACGACTCCAAGGTTTTGGGGAGATGACTTTTTTTAAAAAGAAATTTGACAATGTAGGAGTGACAGACGGGTTCAACAAGTAGACGGGAACAGAGAAGAGGTCAAAGGCAACTGTTTTTTAAAAATGTTTTTATTCACTTATAAGTAGAAATAAGAGGCCACAAATCACAACTGTATAGCACCAGCATCCAGATCAAGAAAAAGAACATTGCTGGGAGCCCAAAGGCCCCCAGGACCCTTTTCGATTACTATCCCAAAGTTTAACTACTATCCTGGTTCTAATAGCATATATTGGTTTTGCCTGCATTTAAACTTTATGGTCATGGAATCATGCAGTATGTACTCTTTTATATATGGCTTTTCCCCCCCTCAACATTATATTTGTGAAATTTATGTATATGGCTGCATGTAATTGTAGCTTGTTCATTTGTATTACCGTATAGTACTCTATTGTCTGAATATACTTGTGGCACAATGTTTATTTGCCTATTCAGCTGTCTGTAGGCCCCTGGGTAGTTTTCATTTGGGGACTATTAGGTGTATTACTGCAGTGACCACTTTTGTACAATTGGAAAACATATATATGTATTTCTGTTGCACATTTCCCTCCTGAACGGGACCCAAGGCCTAGACCCAGGGGGCAATATTAGAAACTCAGTTACTGAATTAGTCATGTTGTTTTCTCTAATATAGTAATAAAGTTGATATTATTTTTATATGTCTAATTTCTTATTTGGTCTAGAACTTACATGGGGGAAAGCACAGTGATTAATTATAGTCTTTTAATCCAGA